TTTATGCCTAAAGGTGAAATTGACTGTTTGGCATTTGGAGGGGTTTAAGGTAAGACCGTTTTCCTTGAACCACTGGCTGATTTCTGATAGAAAGCCATTTAGTTTAGAGCAGTCACTTTGACATTTGACAGGCAAAGATACTGTCAGGTCGTCAGCATATTTGACAAAATTAATGTCAATTGAAGATGGTAAGTCATGTAGAAAGAAAGAAAAGAGAAGTGGGGAGAGTACAGCACATTGGGGGACACCAGCTTCATTGAGCGCAGCAGAGGAGGATTTACCTTTGAATACGGTGTACTGCATTCTGTTAGAGAAGTAGGAATGCAACCAGTTAGTGACCCAGGACTCAGTTTTTGTCATAGAGAGCATATTTAGCAAGAGTCACCTAGGTAGAAAGTCGAAAGCATAAGTGAAGTAGTACCCATAACACTAGAAGTAGTGCTGATTATTATCCTCATTACTCTCATATCCCTTATTCTTTTATTTGACCTTTTAATTCTTCATTTAAAAATATCTCTTTTGAATTAACAAGTAGATATGTGAGATCAGACTGTGTAATTCGATCACATGACATTTTTCAGATCAACTCCTCCGTCTGTTAACCAACAGTATTCCAAAGAAATATTGTTAAATCTTTAGTAAAATGAAAATTTAACCATTGTATAAGGTAACCTGTGTTGACACAGATATATGTTGTTGTCACAAATAGTTTTTTAATTTCTATCTACAAAGGTACTGATCAGTTTTGTCGATCGATAAGTAACTTTTTAAATGAATCGATAATGTTATGTCCAACGCTATAGAAACATTCTATGACTAGTGTAATATATACATATATATGAGCATAATTTCGTTTCAGTGAAAATAAATACTTATTTGACTGTGTTAGATTAGAAAAACCGTATTTCACATTGATGCAACTACAAAAATGTTGAGATATCTTCTTTATTATTGCCAATGTGGTGCGTACTACTGACAAGATTTATCAGTAGTATATAAACGCAGATAGATAGGATGTAGCCAAAATTTAAAAACACCATTTTAAGTCAGTGGCTACAGAAGTAGAAGCGTTTATTTTGTCAAATATTCTGCATCTAGCTTACGTTGTGGTCAGAAAATAATCTCAAGGCTTAATCTTCAAAAAATCAAAAACCTATCAGAACACTTTATTATCCGCTGATCTGGCCGACAATAAAAGTGGTCAAAAATGAATAAATATGGAGGGTGTTTCCTCAATAAAAAAGTCCGTTGTCTTCTCCCGTTTCTCCGTTTCGTCACTAACTAACATCAGTTAGGGAATCGTTGAAAACTATGAAACACAGAACAGCTGCTTCGTGCTAATTCGACAAGTTTTCTGAACCGATAGAGTACCATGTCGCTGATGCTTTCTGGTCGGCTGTTTGATCCTTAATATGGACCGGGGGCGATTGGCTGTTAAAGAAAGTCGGAAGTAACCCATCGGAAATGCTTGTGATGCTGATGCGTACATCATGTCTTTAAATCATAAGGAAGCACTGCCTAACTTGACATTAGTATTCAAGTATTGGATTGTAGGGATTTGATTGATTGATTACAGGATTTCATCATGAGCTGACATCAGTTAGAGAACTACTGGAAGACCGGGGAGTATTGGACAGCTGTTTTGTCCTAGTTTGGTATTCTTCATCAGTCGGGTACAGCAGGTCAGGGGGAGGACAAATACTTACCGAAGACATTGGCTAGTGGTCGCGCTATGTCGTGAATTGGCAGAAGTTGGAATTCATGTGTTGACCATTGGATCGGGTCCCAGTGGCCTAATGGTCTATGAGCTCTCTCGCCTTGTAACCAGAAGGTCCTGGGTCCGAATCCTGGCAGTGGGCGCGTACTGATGAAGAGTCCGAAACTAGAACGAAACAGCTGGTTGTCCAATACTCCCAGGTTTTCCAATGGTTCTCTGAATGGTGTCAGCTCATGACGAAATCCTGTAACTTGACATTAGTGTTGAAAATTAGGATCTTTTTCATTCTGTTGAATGGTGTAGACCTCCACACTAGTTTTAGAGCAATTCAAACCTGTCTTGCATTCCCTATCCACTCCTCACTGGCTTTGGCATCTTCATCCTTGTCACCTGCAGGTGTAACGAAGATGCAGTGGTAAATAATTAAAAGAGACGACTTCCTTACATTCGCTGAATGGTGTACCAATATTTTCAGACCATGTTTTCTCAAATCTATGAGTTCGCACTCTTCAAAAGCAGTTATAATTAAAAACTATAGATTCCAAATGGAGATAACCTTTCAAATCAGTACTTTGCCGAATAGGCCAACGATTTTTCCTTTGTAATATTTAAATACACCTGAGTTAAGGGAATTGATAGTCAACGGGTAAAATAGTAATCACCGCATGATTCACTGTGTGATCGGACTGTAACTGTAAAATTTCATTATCTTTTTCTTACCTTAGTCGTGGGCAAATCGCACACCTATCCGAATCGTCTACCAATCAGAACACTGTATTTTCACTGCCTAAGGCGGATTTTTGTGTGGTTAAAAATACATAAATATGACGTGCGTTTTCCTAATAATATTGTATCCTTACAGTCATGGGCCAGTCTTTGTCTTCTGATATTTACGTGGCTCAGTGAATGGGAAGGTACCACGGACGAGTAGGCGTATCTAGTATATCAGCTAAGTTGTTCATTGAGTCAGTATTATTACTAGTATATCCACCCATAAGTCCAATCAGTCATATCATTTGTCAAAGAGATCACATCAGCTGGCGACATAGATCATAACAGTATTGTGTTCAGATGAGCGATAACTCTTCCCATTAACCTAATACTGAAGCATTTGTACATACATATGGTAATTAATTACATACCTTTCACGGTAAAACCATTTGTCCTACATCAATACTCAGACAAATACATCTGTCCTACGGTAAGTGATACATCTTCTGAAGGAATTCTAAGTATCCATTCATCATATCTTATTCAAGATAACTAGGTGGGTCAACTTCAGAAATGTTTATCACCTAAGTTTACAACTAAGATGTCAACAAGCCTAAAAACTACCCAACCGTTAGGATTATTACTCGTACCTTGGGTTCCGAAAGGAACATATAGATTTAGCAACACATCCCAATGTTATTCTGTACTCTGTTATGATTTTTACATGGCTCCACAATTGACCACAAGCATTTATTTCTCCTTCACAAGATCTCCTCTGTGATACATTTAAACATACGCCCAACCGATCGCTTCCCCTTCGTGTCCCATTATTACCTACGAATCAATATAATGAAGGGGCCTTGTGTCAGTAACTTAATCTTCAAAAGCAGCAATTACTCCGTCACACTGACAATCGATGGATCGAAACCCAGCTATCGTTAACTCCACGTCTGTATATGAAGTATCATTTGCATGGAGTTAGCAAGTGCACAGGAAGAACAGAGAGACAGTTGTTTACGTTTAGGAGGTTCAGCTTCATGTAACAATTCTATAGCTTAGCAACTGGCTGGTACTCTACACCACATCAACATATCAGAAGCGTTAAAGGTGATAAAAATACAAAAAAACTTCGCATATATTACGAATTGTTGAAGCTGTCACCATCCAAAGAGTGAAACTTGAATTAAATATTGAAAAAGAGACTGCAACTCTTTTGTTACCACCCAAGAAAGCACTCACGCCTTTGCATTAACTCATAGGAATTTCATTTTCTTTATTATCGTGTAATTCAACAGACTTGTATCCATCCCTTTTCGTACTAATTTTTATCATTATTTTTGTTATTATAGTCCTCCTTCACATGATTTCATAACTGATTATTCTAACTTCCTGTATAGTTTGCATATATCGCCTCCATTTTCAGTGTCTTATTCTTCTCCTCTTATAAAGCGAACATTGACTATTCATCACAGTTAAAATATGTCAAACAAATAGAAAGCCAATGACCTGCAGTTTTTGAAGGATACATATGGATCTTAGGGCAGGACTTCGAGGCTGTTGCGCAGTTGAATGGTGTTCAAGATATATCAGCGATGAGGCTCCTACTTGGAACTTTGCTGGGAGGTCGGACGACGGCAGCATATGATATTGTGAGGCGAAACACCGGCGAACATGAGCCAGGGTTACACAATCTGCTTCCAAAGTGGGAAGGACCATACACAGTCACTGTGAGACGGGGTCACGTATATGCGATCAGAAATGCAAACAAAGAGGAGCGGGTGAACTTCAGAGAGCTCCGGAACTCGATATACCAAGACAAACTAACAAAGCCGTCAGCACCAATACTATCGAACCGACTTCAGTCGAAAGTTTTTGACGAGGGTACGAGTGTGGTGGTGTGATACAGACAACGTGTTCTAACGGAATATTGTTCTCACATATTCCCCACTGCGTCAGCAACAGAATACTATATATATTTAAACATTCTATTTCATGTCGTTTAATGTAAACCGAAATCACACGCTCAATGCTTGGTTAGAAAATATCCAACTGTATCTATATAAATAGCAGTTTGATCACTTGAAAATAAACATTGGTTTCTGCGTCTTGTCTTCTGCGGTTACAATTTGCTTTATTGTCAAGGTTGCATGGAGCTGATGAAAATCCTATGAAATAAAATGAATTCGACTCATGGTCATTATGTTATTCGAAAATCATACTGGTCCAATCATAATCAACGACCTATAACTCCCATCATACTCTTAAGTTCTTAATACCATTTACATGAACCAATAACATGGTCAGTAAGCACCCCTATGATTAGGAAAACATACTCCATCTAGATTTACATTATAGTGACATTAGTAAAGGGAATAAAATTAAGCCATCTTCATGGCCTGGTAAATAAGAAAGCTAATCCTGGTAACTGAGTCCTAACTAATAGTATGTAAGTTGTTTCTCACCGACACAAGGTAATACACAAACTAACACTATGAAAGATAGATTCATAGCCTCCATGGCTGAGGATAAAATTAATTTCGGGGTATTCTCGCGCATGGTATAGGGTACAAAGCAACGAATATTCTAGCCGTCTAAAAGATCGATAAAACTCCTCTAGAACAGTCAAATGTAACATTTCAAATGGCATAGGATTCCTTTAAAAAGGTACTGCTAAATCACATTAGTACGTACTATTGGCATTTACTACGACTGATTGACGGAGGCTAGAATTTTATAGGGAACATAATTATTCTCCGCATAGCTGGGTGTAGTAGATACACCTTATTGATGAATGAGTACCAACCGCAAGGGACAAAATCTACGGCCATCTAACAGTATCACTAAGACACATCACATCATAAGACATTATTTGATATTAAATAAGGTTAAAGGCTCTGAGTAGATACACTTGTCTTTCTTTACTTTTAACGCGAGGAGGGGGGAAATGGTACAAAATTTAAAAAAAACAGGGAGAATATATTGCCAAATAAACCCCACTCTCGAGTAGAAATGTAAGAATAGAACTCATCAATTAACAAGAATATAATATAGTAATAATAAGTAAATATCACTGCACTCCGGCCGATGAACAGACGGACTGACAGACGGGGAAGGGGAGCGAAAGTAAAAACTGGAGTATAACACAAGATTAGACAAAACTGGCAAACTCTCTTAACTATTTATTTTCCTAAATTCGATTGTTTTCTCCACTACAGATACCAAAACAGAAAGCGAGCGCACAAGGGGCACCTTAATCATTCAAGATAACTAACTTCAAAGTATACACATACAAAAAAAGAGAACAAAAAACAGGAATCTAATCAGTACAAAGGTGATGTAATCATCAAATGAGGAAAAGAAATACTGATTATGGTTATTGAGTAGTACAAAAAGAGAAGTATATTCTGAACAGCCACTCCTCTTCGGCCTCCATCCACCGACAAAACAGATCACCCTTTTCTAGTGGGACTGCTAACAAACACACACACACACCAGTGTAGAGTATAGTAATAATAGAAGTATAAACCACACACGATATCACAACACAATGAAAACTTGAAAGACACAAGGATTGTTCAAAAAAATGAAATTTTAGTAACAATATCAGTACTACTGCCACTAGTAATGATAATAATAGTAGTAGTAGTAGTAGATTATAAGTACACGTAGTAATACTAGTAGTGGTTGTGATAACAGATCTTAACTAGAGATAAACCAACACGGTTAGAAGGCATCAGGGTAGTTTAAAAGAAAGAACGAGGAAGGTGACCAACACAGAAATATCGATCGAAATAGACAGAGTACAGGAGTACAAAATTATTAGTTAATTGGAAGATGTTATTTCATACAAATATACCTTGACGACTATGCTGGGTACTTACATGTACAAGAGACAGGATACAGAGAAAGAGAGAGAACCTTTACCGGGAGATCAACTATAATCAACAAAAGAGAGCACTATGCATGCTGAATTGAGCACCACACAGTCAGTCAACAAGACGAATATAACTTAAGGCAAAGAGAGAAACAGTTTGTCATAGAAATCACTTGTATGATGGAGAATAAGGGCAGCAGTCTAAACGATAAAGAAGAGAGGAGTAATAGAGAAAAATACGTCATTATCAGTATTATACATGCAGTCAGTATATAGCGCCGTAAAGTCAGTACAATTCCTAAGCGAGGAATTGAAGCACTAATTAATAAAGAAGTTTACAGGGAATACTCACTAATCTAAATCAGAATGTCGTCTAAAGTCTAAATGATGCATTGCTGAATTGAACAGAGAGTGTAAACGAAACGCCTCAGCTAAAACTAGATTAATATTTTCATCTGTCCAATGAAATGTTGGCAAATGTTGTAGTAATACCATAATACCTTGAAAATCCCGTTCACGGCAGAGATCATTGGAAAATTGCAATAGAAATGCTGCGCATACATAAACATGAAAAGTTGAAAATCCACTATTTTCTGACTGTAGCAATAAGAAAAAGGAAAGAAATGACAGGAAAATAATCATAGAATTTGCTACTGAAATGCATAAACTAATATATGTAGAGCTTACAAGTAAATACAAAAAACACCAACATAATATTATATGTTAATTATTCTTCCATTGGGTTCCGAGTGGAACATAAGGATTCAACAGTATATCTCTACTTTATCCTATTCTCTGCTGGCCACATGATTGCCCATAGTTTATCTCCTCTTCACACGATCTCCTCCATGTCCCCTCGACCTGACAACCCACCCGTCATCTCCTATTGAGATTACACTCGAGCGGTGACCTGCATAACACCCGATGTCACTCGACGGCTTCCTCAACATATGCCCGATCCATCTCCATTTTCTACTATATAATTGTTGAACAATCGGTCCTTGTTTGGTGTGTTGCCAGAGTTTCTCGCTGCTAATTCTTTCTGTTCTGCCATCCGAATCTTGTCGTTCATACTGACTGAGTGACAGCAGAAGATTTCGAAACTGGTTTCAGGTTGATGAAGGCCTGCGTATCCTGCCTTTCTGATTCTGACCAGCTTTGACATCTTCAGCTGTTCCGTCTGTAGTTGAAACGATGCTTACTGCCTAGACAAGTGAAGTAGGCAACCTCTGTTAAGTCTCTCCCGTCGATGGTGATTGGTTATCTTCATCACCTCCGTCTGCCCGCAGTACTGTTTTCGCTGCTTACCTCTTCAGCCAGTTTGTTGGTTTTCGTCTGCAATTCTTCAAGTCTGTGTGACATCAGACATATATCATCTGCAAAATTCAGATCTTCTAGAGTCTTCTTATCGGTCAGTGCAGCGTATCCCTCTGTTCCCGCTCCCTGTGCACAGTCTGACGTATAATCCAGTCCACCACAATTAAGAATATTATCGGTGATAATATGCAGTCAGTCTGTTTTGCTCCTGTATGCATTTCGAACGCCTCGCCGAGTTTTCCCTTGTGGATCACTTGACACGTGGCATTGTTACATAGCTGTTGAATGAGGCTGATAAAGATTTAGGGCACTCCATATCAACACATATATCACATTATTTATTATTGGTTTCCTTGGAGTGCAATTGAAACATAAGTCATCAGCTCCATATTTCCTTGGGATTCTGCCCTTTGCCATCACCATAAGCTGGATTCATGACCACCTGCTTAAATGATATCCTACAAGTTACCCTCAAGCTCAAACCCAACTCGTCACTTCCATTCAGATTTTACTGGACGACTAGTCTGATAAGCCAAGTTGCGATCTCCTCCTCAGTACGTGTCTAAACCATATCAATCTCCTTCCGCATATTTGTAACGTAATAGGTGGCTGACTAGTTCGTCTTACTGTAACAGTTTGTTGTTTCTTATTCTTTCGAAGTGGTCATTTGATCTCCAGTATCGAGTCAGTGGGTGCAATCGTCGATGGAAGCCTACACCTGACTGCCGGAAATGGCTTTGATGACTTTCGTGACATACCTCTGAACAACATGACTGACTTGACACTAGTGTCCACATGGAACCAGCTAAAGACGATTGTGGAGAACAAGATGAACTGGAGATGTGTTGTTGAAGGCCTATGTTCCATTCAGAGCCTAAGGAAATGATAAAACTATCTGGAATAGACAAGCAATCAGTGTATGTTTTGTTGCCCTAGTCTGGGACTCTTCAACAGGATACATTCACTGGGGTTCAAATCCAGGACCATTTCGTCGCTGGAACCTAACCCAATCCTGTAAACAATCAAATCCCTGCAAACCAACACAGACGGACGAGAAAATCTTTTTGTGTTTTATGAAAGCATGTGGGCAGTGATTACTACTCAGCTGCTCACAACATGGACGTTCATTTCTTCTTCAACTACCTGAAATAGAAAAAGCATTAGTATTGGATGACTTCAGAGGCTAAGAGACAACTGCTTTACGCCGGTCACACATAGCTTATCACAAGTGGCTCTTTAAGTTGCGTCCCTGTTAAAATCCTGCCACCGGTCACGGACTGTCTCAAGATAAGTCGGAATGTACAGTTTTCAACCTCTTCTAACCCCTTTGTTTAGAGCGGAGAAGCACCATAACTGGCTTGTATCTCACCTGAGGAAAACCCCTATTCGTCAGCAGTACGCAACTTCGCCCACAGATCCCAAACATAGTGTAACGGCTTACACTACTTTTAGTCTAACTGTTATCCAAACGACCATTATGGAATGGTAGGACCTGCAGGAACACTAGTTTCAACCAGTGTAGCTTATTAAGTCACTGTGATACGCAAACCCGACCACCACGTCAAGGTAGCAGCTATCGATCGGAGATGAGCAGTTGTTCCGACGATGCAGCCATGCACATACATACACAAATACGCTGTCAACACATATTACACAATCTAATGTCCATCGTTTAACTACCTTAACGAACCAATTGAAAAACTTCATACTTACCATATACGTATCCCATAGACGTATAATACACCGCAAGGGTAATTCACGTATTAATAAATTATTCATCCAACGAAAAGCAAATTGTAAAAATTCTACATCATTTTGTATAAAATGTTGATACAACTTTGTATCAACACGTTCAATTAAACTAGCTAACATTTTTACATTATTTTGTAGACCAGGTTGAGCAAATGTATAATTATCTTGTATTGTATCCAATAGATGAGATGTACACCAAAAAACATCCGCTTCAACTGAGGTCAATTGGTCACTAGTTATATCTGATTGTAGGCTTAATTCACCTGATGTGTTTAAATCTATATGAAAAGTGAAGAGGGAAAAAACACAGGAAGTCAATGATATGTATTCAAAGAAGATAAACAATTTGAAAATAGATGCTAGTGGACAGCTGTTTCGTCCTAGCCCATGACTCTTCAGTAATCCACACCAGTACATTTATCCCCCCCCGTCCCCAGGGATTCAATCCAGGACTTTCAGGTTGCGAGACGAGTCGTGCTGGTGGGAACAATTCAATTTTGTTATGAAAAATACATTAGATACAAACATAATGTATTCCAGAAAGTTAAGCCAACAATCTTTTTTGATTCTATTTGCGCTCCAAAATGTACTGAGGGCGGTGGTATTGTTTTTTACCGAGTTGGCTTTCTAATCTCATATTCCCTACCTTTCTCATATATAGAGCAAGGTTTAGGAGTGCGTCGGTCAAGAATTGAATTAGAACCACGTCTGCAGTAGGCGAACATTCTACTATCGAACCACTGACCAATAAAGCCAACAAATAACCAATTATATTTCACTGTATAAGGCGGGGTTTCTAAATTGTTCCATTGCACTATAATAAATATTCTACCTCGATCTAGTTTAAACAGGTCTGAGCTAGTTTTAACTGACTTCAACCGGTTTCTACCAAAACTCTTCTAGTTTACTAGCCCAGAAAAGAGTGGAGATAGGGTGTGTAGCTGGCACCCACCTACAGCTAACTTCCTCTTATAAACAATACGACCATTACTAAAACTTCACAAAAGCATAAATCCCCATACTACACTAGGAACACAAAGGAATGAAAAGAAAAGAGTATTCAAAAACTTTTTTACCGTGTTGACAATACTAATGACATGAAAGATTTCTAATTTAACATATAAGCATATCTCCAAGTGATACAATTGTGTGTGCAGTATTTATGCAGACAAAAGGTATAATATGAAGATATGTGGATAAAGCAGTGACTTTCTTATCGCTTGTGCTGAACGTTCGTTCTACCCATCAACAACACAGTAGTATGCGACAAGTGTCAACACCAAGAGAAATTCTGTCGATATAATCATATTTGAAATAGTACCACAGAGTGATTTAATATCAGACAAAAGTCATTCCAAGAAGGTTGTGAATAACCAACATATATTACGCATATCGACCTACCAGTTTTTTTTTAACAAACAAGACATATGAGAGTGAATTAGATTTCAGACAAAAAAAACAACAAAGAAATCAATGAAACTAAAAGATAAAGTATTCATGCATTCTGTGACTGTTGAAATGAACCATGCATGAAGATGTGGAAGCCTTATTCAAGAATGATCAGTAAGGAGGAATTTTTGATGACAGCTAAAAAAATGATTCACTATGCTACAAATATATTCACAGTTTATTAAATCTCATCTCACGCTTATATCTCCCCAGAGTACATCATCTTGATACTTCTTGTTTTGTGAACTGATTTCAAAGTGCTCCTAATTGAGCTAACACATTTCTGTGTAAAGTTCTACACTAGTCCTTTTATAGATATCTCTCCTAAGAGAAGACGTTTACTTGAATAAAGTAACAACAACAGTTTGTACAGAATAAAATGGTATCGAGAATCGGGAAGGCGAGAAACACATTCATCAACCTGAAACCAATCTGGAAATCTTCGTCACTCGACTCAGCATCAACAACAAAATTCGGATTTTCAATACAAACGTCAAGCCAGTTCTTCTATACGGATCAGAAACTTGGAGGGTCACAAAGAATATTTCCAACAGGTTGCAGACATTTATCAACAGCTGTTTTCATTCTATACTGAAGATCAGATGGTCGAAAAGAATCACCAACAAGAAACTATGGGAACAAACAAAACAAGAACCAACCGCTTGACAAATATGCAGGAGAAAGTGGAGATGGATTGGACACTCGCTGAGGAGGCCGTTGGGTGACATCGCGCGTCAGGCCAGTGCTCGAGTGGAACCCGAAAGGGAAGCGGCGAGTGGTACGTCCAAGGGTGACATGAAGGAGATCGTGTGAAGAAGAGTTGAAACAGTATGGACTAATATGGATGCAAGTGAAAAGTACAGCAGAAGACAGAAGCAAGTGGAGACGTGCAGTTGAAGCCCTATGTTCCACTAGGAACCCAAGGGAACAATAATAATAATATAATAATTCTTTATTTTGCTAACTTCTCATCAACTGCGTACAACCCTAAAGAAATTATTTAGTTTATGTACGCAACAATTTTAACACACACTTGCAAATGCTACATGTTGTCAGTTGACAGAAGGTTCCAAACTTAATGAACAGTGCTCAGGTTGAAACAAAGATAAATGTTTGCTTACATAATCAAAGGGGTTATGTAATAAAGACAAGAGGTGAGCGAGATAATGAGTGACTTATAAACTGAGCAACAAAAAATACAGTGAGTTCAACTCAAATCATCTTTAAATCACAAAAGAAATTTAGTCAAATAATGAAATTTTCGCAATCACAGAAAACATAAGTAAGTCGAACAATTTGACAAGCACTAATCAATCTAAATTTTACAATCAATACACAAATGCATAAAATGCTTCACTTGACAGACAGTATCCTTCTGTCAATCTATGCATGTTGAACAATTCAACATCTTGACATGGAGTCAAATACAAACCAGAAATGATATTTGGGAATATAGAGCAAGCATTCAGGTTAATCAGCGCGAGCGAATTCATTACAATAATAAACAAGGCAAGTACAAAGAGATTCACTAAATAAAAATTAAAAATATAATTTTATTATTAATAAGATTATTTCAAAAGGTAATCAGTAGGTTTTTAGACTGACTGGAAGGTGGAGCAAAGTGAAATAATACTTTGGAGTGCAGTACAGCTGTTGCTTTACTTAGTGAAAAACGAAACCCAGCTCGTATCTCAAGTAGCCTCATCGCTTCAACCTCATAAATTCAGTATTAGTATAGAATTACAATATCAAGACCTAGTGATAATATACCGCACAGACAACTATATGTTATGAGGTTACATAACTGACCAAAAGTATCAACAAGGGGATAATCGAAAGAAAGGAAGTGCTGGTTTGGGACTCTTCAGCAACCTGCACTTAAGGCTCCGCTAGGGGTCGAATACAACACCTCTACGTTACTCGACCAGCTAATGAAATAAAGCTAAGATCTCGTTAGCAGCTCAGTGTAAGGGCACCAACTAGCTGTCAGCACTGTTCCCAACCAACAGTGGGGTTAGACGGAGTCGCTTAATCTCTACATTTCTTCACCACCGATAACATTCTGGAGTCAGCTCTGAAGGACAAGTGTGTTAGTGTTGGAGTAGATGTGCTTCCTGGAGAAAGTCTTTTCGACCTCGAGTATGCAGACGATATCGTCTTAGTGTGCAATAGCATGAAGGCTGCCCAAATCGCACTCAATCAGTTGGAGAACGGTGTCTATGGTATGTGCTTTGCGCCGTCTAAGTGCAGTGGACTGTTAAAAGATTGATGTCACTATTGCAGGTGGACCACTCGAAGTTGTCGATAAGTTTGTGTATCTGGGTAGCTGTGTGGGTTCTGGTGAAGGCAGGGCGGACGAGATTTTCAACCGTATCATGAAAGCTAGGGTGGCATACGTCAGATTAAGCCATCTCTGGCGACATCACGACGTCAGCCTGGTTGCTAAGTGTTAGGTTTACGGTGCTTCGGTGTGCTCAGTCTCGCTCTACGCCCGTGCAATCTCAACTCTCCCAAATGAGAATGTGAGGTAACTTTGCGTATTCAATCACCACTACCAACGTAGGATTGTTTGTGTTCTACGTCATCATTGTTTGAGCAATTCTGAGGTCCAACAGCGTGTATTTGGGCACAGTGGAAACCACTATTTGATGGGTTTCATCATCCGGAAATACCAGCTTCGATGGCTGGGACATGTGCTACAAATGTCATCCCAGAGGCTTCCGGACTAGCATCTGTTCGTTAGACCTAGGACGGGATGGAAAAAGCGGAAAGGTGGTCAGTCCATCACCTAGCGTCGTGGTATGAAGGATATTTTTGTTAGGTTAGCATAGGTTGGTACATCACGACTCCTTAGTTGGAGTCCGAGAGATAGTCCACATCGGTGGCTCGAAACGTTATCGTACTGAATGGCGAACATACTGCGATTTCCTTCCTTCTCCCCTTTCTGACAGCAGTACGACGAATCATGTTCTACTGCCGTGACACTGATGCACACACATGCTGTATGACTATTGAACTTTCCGTAGCGCTTAGAATAATTATCTGGAGTAGGGTCGCTAGCTCGTGTGACATTTGCCAACCTACATCATCTCTGATGTAAATGTGATATCCAACTAGCTATCAACCAGATGACGAGTGTACTGCTTAGGAGTTCCCTCCGCCCTCCTTTATGGCTGCAGGTGGGAACTGCCCAGTGAAGGTGGAAGATATGCAAAGACTAGCTAGCTGTCTTTAATTAAAGCTGTCTCCGTTCAATCTCCTGCACTACTTGATATAGGTATAATAGGTTGAGTTACATTGAGGCTAGGCATCGAATGTTACGCAAGGAGGGAAAATCTACTGATGAGGTAGTGAAGTTACATCTGTTGAGATAGCTAGTACATGCGTTACGCATTCCTAGCCATCGCTTTTGTTGACGGGCAATGTTAGCTGACACAGGATTGGTTTAGAAAAGAGCTAGTAGTGGTGAAACGAAGACAGCATTAGTCCATGAAATCTCTAAGAGTTATTTTGATCCAGATGAGGAGGTGTAGACTGCCTGACTGGTTGGGGTCCTCGGGAAGGTAAACACAAATGGCTTGAGGCAGTTAGTGATATAGCTCGAAATCGTTCTCAATAGCTCAGATGCATTCACTCTCTGTGATCTGCCATATGCATTAAAACTCTATAGTTTTACCACGTTACCATTCTTTTACAGTTTCCTTTTTGCTTATTATCATTCTTCCCAATCTTTTTTCCCTCCTACTTCTTCCTTTTTGTGCTACATGAAGTGTGACAGCTAAAACTGCTACACTTCTGTGCAAACTTCGATGTTGAGACCAGTCAGGGT